AAATTATGAGGCAGCTCCTCTACAAGGAGAGATGGTTAAAAATTATCTGCGATGAAAAAATGGATCGGGAAGTTCCTTCGGGCACTTCGAAATTGGTTTTTAATTTTGAAGGGAATAATTTTGAATATTCGGGGAGGGTTTCATCCACCGAGTCCGGGGCTATTTTTTTTTTCTTTTTGTGAAGACAAATAGCGAGATAAGCTGATATTTTTTTTATATAAGTATATCAATGTAAGAGAAAACTTTTTTTTTTTTTTTTTCCCCTGGAATAATTTGAGAACGACTTCACACTTTTCTGTAGGGGTTTCAAATAAATCATATTTCTCCTAACAACTTGGGCTGTGTCTCAGCGTAAAAAAAAAAAAAGCACACGGCATTTCTATAACGACATAATTTATTTTTAATGTCGGATTTTTAAAATGCAGAACTTGAGCAAAGTCATCCTTGCGGTGTCCCCGTGCTGTCCCTTCCTACAATCCTGGGACGCGCTGCAGAAATATCCTTGGTGGAATCTTACCTCTCCTCGGCTGAAAACTTTACCGAGCTCAATTTCTACAGAAACACCACAAGCAGCAAAAGTTCTTTGCTTGCCKCAGCTGGGGACTGAGCAGAGACTGAACCAGCGGGATCGGATAAGCCCGAAACTCGAATGGCGTGAAGAAAAAAAAAMCCTGAATTATGAAAAACGCGCAGTTTCCAAACGGGGCAGCGCAGGGAGAGGAGCCCCTTCGAGGAAAAGAACRGGAGGCGCTTGGAAAAGCGGGACTGGCTTTGCCCGTTTCCCCGGGGACGCCGCCGGTTTTCTTCTCGCAGCCTTTACCGGGAGCGGTGGCGGAGCTTTCGTAGCGCTCGGGGCTCTCCCCGCGCCGGGGGCTGCCGGGGCCGCTCCGGGGCTTCTCCGGGACCGCTCCGGTGCCGCTCCGATGCCGCTCTGGGACCGCTCCGGTGCCACTACGGGGCCGCTCCGGTGCCGCTCCCGGTGCCATTCCCGGGCCATTCCCGGGCCGGTCCTGATGCCATTCCCGGGCCATTCCCGGGCCGCTCCCGGTGCCGTTCCCGGTGCCATTCCCGGGCCGCTCCGGTGCCGTTCCCGGTGCCATTCCCGGTGCCGCTCTGGGGCCATTCCCGGTGCCATTCCCGGGCCGTTCCCGGTGCCATTCCTGGGCCGTTCCCGGGCCGTTCCCGGCGCCGTTAACAGTGCCGTTCCCGGTGCCATTCCCGGGCCGTTCCCGGTGCCATTCCCGGGCCGCTCCGGTGCCGTTCCCGGTGCCATTCCCGGTGCCGCTCCGGGGCCATTCCCGGTGCCGTTCCCGGGCCATTCCCGGTGCCATTCCCGGGCCGCTCCGGTGCCATTCCCGGTGCCATTCCCGGTACCGTTCCCGATGCCATTCCCGGTGCCATTCCCGGGCCATTCCCGGTGCCATTCCCAGGCCATTCCCGGTGCCATTCCCGGGCCATTCCCAGGCCATTCCCGGTGCCATTCCCGGGCCATTCCCGGGCCATTCCCGGTGCCATTCCCGGTGCCATTCCCGGTGCCATTCCCGGGCCCGTTCCCGGGCTCACCTGCCCGCGGGGGCTCCGCGCGGCGTGTGTCGCCCTCCAGGGGACACCGCGGGGACAGCAGCGCTCCCCGGCACCGCCCGACACCGCGGGGACAGCGCGGGGACACAAATGGGGACAGCGCGGGGGACGGGGACAGAAATGGGGACAACGAGAGGGGACCGCAGGGAGAGAGGAGA